CTGCAGCCAGGGCACGGTGTGGGCCCGGCCAGCTGGCTGAAGGCTGGTAAGTTGGCTGACCTCGTCCTAATGGGACCCAGGTCCACGGCCTTTCTGGCCAGAAGCACGTCCAGCAGGCCCGAGGGGTGGCCTTCTGTACGCATTGCAGCAGGAGTGTTTACGCGGGGCTCAGCGGAGTGTACGCGAGCACCACTTGTGTCACGCCGGCCGGCAGCAGCTGGCCGAGCGGGAAGTGGGAAGCGAGGCCCGGGCGCGGCCGTGCAGGGGGAGGGGCAGGGGAGGAGCCCACGTGTACCTGTGCGTGGAGGTGCGTGTGTGTGCGCGCGGGCGGGGAAGGGTGTGAGCGTGTGCTGGGGCCGAGGTGCTGGGTCTGTGTCCACCAGCTTGACCGCAAAGGGCTGCGATCGGTTTTCCGATTCGTGAAGTTACCTGAAAAGCCTATTAAATCACGTGTACTGAATACAGTAGAATTCCAGGAAGGCAGGATTGTCCCCAAGTCCCGAACGTGGGCACCCCGCATAGCTGCTCTGTGACCTCAGTCCCTCCCTCTCCGGGTGCAGGCCCCAGGATAAACCACACGGTGCGGGTGAGCCTCCCTGCTCCCCGTAATGCCCGGCCCCGCCCTGTCCTGCTTCGCCCCCCAGAAATTGGTGACCCCCCAAAGCAGCCCTGGAGGGGCAGTAGGAGGGGTCAGGGTGTGTGTGTGGGCGGCCTCTGTGTGACCCCCTCTCCCCCGGCCCTGCGCAGCTCCCTGGTCCCAGCCCCATCCGGGCAGCTGGCCCTGGGCTACTCCTGACGGTGGCCAAGCCCACTCCTCTTTCTGAGGCCTGAGGATTTAGACGGAAGGGGCCGTCAGCAGCAGGCGGGGCTGGGCTTCCCCCCTGGAGACCGAGGGAGGGGACATGGCTCTTTGCCCGACGCTGAGTTGGGAAGTCCCACCTTCTCCCGCCCTTGGGCTCAGAGCGGGACTCAGATATCAGGGCTCCTGGCTCTCAGGCCTTCACGCTTGGGCTGAACTGCACCGCAGGCTCTCCTGGGCCCCCAGCCTGAGGTTGGAAGCCAACTCCTCAGAGCAGATCTGTCTGTCTGTCTGTCTACCTATTGGTCTGTTTCTCCCGAGAACCCTGACTAACACAGTGTCTGCTTTTTGGGGGGTGCTCGCATCTAACGTGACCCTCTCCCCATTGCTCACACCCTGTCCCCCTCCCCCACCCCATGGCCCCTCCAAGTCACCCGCCTCGTGCTGCTCTGTCAGCCCTGGGCAGGGGGCTGTGGCGGGGATGGGCTCGGGCCTCTGTAGCCAGAGCCAGTCTGCATGTGGAGGGGTGGCCCCGGGGACCCTGCACGCTCTCCAGGGAGGCCTTCCCCAGGTGGGGGGGACACAGGTACCCCGTGACCATCCCACAGCCCTCCCTGCTCTCCCTGCCGCAAGCCCGGCCCCCATATGCTCCTTCCCGCCAGCAGTGTCCTCCCCGGGCCCACAGCTGTACAGCCCTCTTATCAGGAACCTAGTGGTCCTGTCGCCCTTGAACTTAAAGATAGTGACAATGTGACCTGGGACCCCCGATGGTGAAGGGGGAAGAGCAGCGGCGTTAACAGGGATGTCCTCCTGGTGCTTTAGGGAAGGAGAAGAGGAGAGAGGGTGGGGCCGGGGCCCCTCTCTGGGTGGGGTGGGGCACCTGTGAGCTCCTCCCAGGCGGGCAGGGCAGCCTCTGGGAGGGTCAGGGCACCCGCTCCGCTCACCTGCAGTACAAAGCCCGATCCCAGGTTAACGAGTTCAAAGTCACATTCCTTATCACATTTTTGAGGCCGAGGGAGCACTGGAGGCCGACACCCGGAGCAGGGCCCTTGGTGCCCTCTGCCTCTTATTGCACAACCGCGGTCACTTTTACGGGCACAGCCGGTCTTTCACTAGGTGCTGCCACAGTCTCACCGCTTTAGCCTTCACCTGTGACGTCCGCACCGTGAAGATAAGCTTTCAGATGCCAACTCATTTACTGACGTACTAGCCGCAGGTTTTTCTCTTCTGCTTGGTGGCATCGTCACGCCCGGAGAATGTGCCTGACAAAACGCTCTGATGTGACATTGTTATGCAATGATCCCGTAGAGCAAGGGTGCCACGGCAGCGACACAGCCCAAAGGCCTCCAGGAAAGAAAATCCACAAAGATAAATAAAAGAAAAATACGTGCAAGAAAGATGTAAAGGACTAAATGTCCTTACTACGTAAAGAATTCTCAGAGTAAATAAGAAAAGCACTCACCCTACTAGGGGACTGTGATTGTGCCCACCCAGTGCCGCGTCTCCTCCATCTGCCACCCTTGTCCGTGAGATCTGAGGGAGGTGACCTCTACTTCCCCTCCAGAGGTGGAACTTGACACACACCTGGCCGGCGAAGGGGCTCCTGGGGTCTCTGGCTGGAGCTACGGGGGGGAGAGGCAAGCTTTCCCCCGGGGCTGTGAAACTGGTAAGAGGTTAGCCATCGCTGCTGCAGTGGGGTGAGTGAGCTGCCTGAGAACAAAGCCACGCGGCGGGGGGTGAGGGGGAGAGCTGAGATGCTGGTGAAAAGACGGAAGAGAGCAGAGAAGCGCCGACGAGGACCCGGGTCCAGCTCAGCCTGAACCCTGACGTGCCCTGAAGCCTTCACTGACGTCAACTACGGACTTTCTTTTTTAGCTTCAAGCAGGTCAAGTTGCATTTCTGTCATTCACAACCAAGGGAGCCTTGGCCGAGACCCATTAACAGAAAACAGAAGATCTGACTCGCAGAAGAAGTACAAAGGCCGATAAACACAAAAACAGAATCAGTCCGAGTACGAACATTCCGGAACTGCGCCTTAAAACGAAGGCGCACTGTTGTACGAGTTGTGTACCCCCCAAAAGGCCTAATCGCCAGCACCTAAGAATGTCACCGCGTTTGGAATTAGGGTCGTTTCAGACAGAATTAGCTGAGATGAGGTCATCCTGGAATGGGTGGGCCCCTGACCCAATCTGACAAGTGTCCTTGTAAGAAGAGGCACCTGGGGAAAGGGATGGGCGTGGTGGGCCTACACCAGCATCTCAGCTCTCCCCCTCACCCCCCGCCGCGTGGCTTTGTTCTCAGGCAGCTCGCTCACCCCACTGCAGCAGCGATGGCTAACCTCTTACCAGTTTCACAGCCCCGGGGGAAAGCTTGCCTCTCCCCCCCGTAGCTCCAGCCAGAGACCCCAGGAGCCCCTTCGCCGGCCAGGTGTGTGTCAAGTTCCACCTCTGGAGGGGAAGTAGAGGTCACCTCCCTCAGATCTCACGGACAAGGGTGGCAGATGGAGGAGACGCGGCACTGGGTGGGCACAATCAAAGTCCCCTAGTAGGGTGAGTGCTTTTCTTATTTACTCTGAGAATTCTTTACGTAGTAAGGACATTTAGTCCTTTACATCTTTCTTACACGTATTTTTCTTTCATTTATCATTGTGGATTTTTTTTCCTGGAGGCCAAACACTGCCTTTGGGCTGTGTCACTGCTGTGGCACCCTTGCTTTCCGGGATCATTGTATAATAATGTCACATCAGAAGGTTTTGTCAGGCCACGCTCTCCGGGTGTCACGATGCCGCCAAGCAGAAGAGAAAAACCTGTGGCTAGCCAAGGAATGACAAGCGTTGCTGAGAGCTGACAGGAGCTGGGAGAGGCGGGAAGGACCCTCCCCTCGAGCCTCAGGAGGGAGCCCGGCCCTGCCCACACCTTGATCTCAGCCCGCTGGCCTCCAGACTGTGGGAGAATGGATTTCTGTTGTTTGAAGCCACATAGCTTGTGTAAAAACAACACATGTCTGAAAATAGGTGAAATGTTAAATAAATGGAAGTGTGAAATAAATATTAGACATGATGGAATATTAAACGCTAAAGATAACGTCTTTAAATAATATGACACAGAGAAATTCCCTTTATATAAATAGAAAAAACAAGATATAAAATCGTCAAAGCTGGGACTTCCCTGGCCGTCCGGTGGTTAAGACTCCACACTTCCACTGCAGGGGGCCCGGGTTCAATCCCTGGTCAGGGAACTAAGATCCCGCATGCCACGCTGCATGGCCAAAGTAGATAAATAAATAAAAATAAGATAAATAAAATAAAATTGTCAGAGTTGACAGAGCCCAGCTCCCGCCACTGCCCTGATGCCGTGACGCTGACTGGTCCCCGGTCCTGCAGCCAGCTCTGCGTGTCACCATGGACAACAAGGAAAGAGGCTTCAACCGGGTCCCAAGTCAGCCCAGGACTCAGCGTGTACCTGCAGGCCTGGACAGAGGCGGACTCGCCCTGAGAGCACTTGGGAGTCCCTCTGTCCGAGGGGAACAAATGCTGAAGTGGGCTGGGAATGCCCAGGCCTCTAGCCCTTCCTCTGTTTTTTTAGGTGCTTAAACTTCTTTCGGATTCTACATGATCCCAATACCTCACATCATCATAGACCATCCCATGTCTGCTGTCAGATGTTGCCGAGGGAAACCAGGTGGCGGCCCATGGCATCCTCGTGCACCTGCACACCCATTCTGAGAAAACGGAAGGAAACCCAGCTGGTTTGGGGATCTGAGACTTAGGCGGTTCCAGTGCTGGTGGCCCAGGTCTTCAAACCCTGCCTGCTGACTTCTGGTCTGTGGTTTATCTATGAGAAGAAGGTTCTGGAAACCTCCTTTGAGGCCTTGGGGTGACCCAGAGGTTCCTGGCCCTGAGGCAGTGCTGGTTGGACCTTATTCCTGGTCCAGGCACCCTGAAAGGCTCTGCCAAATTTAAAACTCTCACCCGTTCTGAGGGGTTTTAGACTGAGCTATGTCGTACACGAAAATATTGCTTTTTTCCCACCGAAGTTTGGTTTTCTGGTTTAGCAGGAACCACCGAGCAGATGCGAGCTTGACAGTGGTGTGCTAATGCCACGGGACCTCGTCCCACTTTGTCCACGTCCTGTACCTTCGCACGGCTCATTAGGTGTCACACTGTACCTGTCAGGTGTCATTACGGGTGCTCAGTCTGGGGACGAGTTTATGATCATTTTTATTAGCTGATGCCAGTGACGTCTTTGCCTCTTCATGACGTAAGTCCATGTGTTGTCTTTTTAAACAAACAACACAACAATACCAAAATCCATGAAAACCAGGTCAGAATGAACGAAAACACCTTTGTAGGCTGTACTGAAAAAGCCCGATGCTGAGCCACGGGTCCTCCTGGGCAATCAGAGGCTTCCGCGTCACCTTGGCAACCGGGGGATGAGGCCTCTCCCTTTCCCACAGCCCCCAAGCCCTGCTGTGGTGGCCTGAGCCTGCGGGTCTCCAGGACCGCCTGGGAGCCCTCGGTTTCTGAGAGTCTGCTCTTGGCCACCAGGTACCACCCTCCTCCCCGGGGCTGTGCTGTCCTGAGCAGGCTGGGCCAGGTGTCCAATCGGGACCCCGGATGCCTCTCAGACAGCCATGGCATCTCCAAGGAAGTCTCCTGGAGAATGTGAGCAGAAAGGCTTGTCAGAGTGACCAAGATGTTGGCATGGGGGAGGGGGACAACAGGGGGTTAAATCGGGGACGGTACAGCCTCCTCCATCGTGGAATTCCAGGCGTGACTCTGATGGTGGTTTAATGACCTGGCAAGAGGCTTCCTCCGCAGGGCTGGCGAAACGGGCAGGAGGTGCATCATACACGGAAGGATCTCGATCCTTTTATAAAAAGACTGCATGGAAAAATATCAAACTGTCAGCAGCACTGCCAGGGTTTTTCGGTTTTGTCTTTACATACTTCTGTATTTTCTAAATTTCCTACTGAGTTTTCTATTGATGTTTATATTTAGAAAAAAACAAAGTCTTTATCAGAAGAGACCACGCTGCTCAGGGAGCCTTGATCTGGTTCTCACTTGATGCCGCTGAAATTGCCGGGGATCCATCTGGAAGCCATAGGGAGAGCTGGGGCCCTGGCCTGTCCGTCACTGCCCATCCCTCTCTTGGCTCACCCTGGGAACCTGCTCCCGGAACGGGGGTGGGGGGTCCTTCACTTCTCCCCCAAGGTCCGGAATGGGCAAACTGCTTAGACTTTCAGAGCCGTCAGGACCTGTCGCCAGGGATGTGCCCCCACTTCCTGTCCCCATCCCTCCTCCCCAGCTTGGAAGCCACACTCCAGACCGGACTCACTGCCAGGCATCATCCCAAACTCCTTTCCCCCTCATCCTCACCTCTGTCCCCATCATAATCTTCACCCCGCAGTGCCTCAACCCCGGGTAAGCCCACATACCCACTTACGCCACACCCGTCCTCTTCTGAGCACCTCCAGAGAAAACTCACACAACTGTTTGGGCGATCGTTGGTGAATGGACCCTCAACGATTCCAGTACTTCCGCCACGTCCGTCTTGGAGCTGGTCCGGATCTCCTGTCTCCTCTCCTCCCCACATCAGCTGGTCCTCTCGGCCTCCCGCCCTTGGGTCCACACCCTCTGCCTTCTCTCTGGTAGAAACAGAAGGAGCTCCCCGTGTACGGCCACTTTCCGGCCAGACCACTCTGTTCCATGACTCTGGCTTCTTTTCCTCCTCCCAGTGGCTGCCTTCTGAAAGCTTCTTACCCATCCCCCCCCAGCCCCCCCAGCCCCCCCACCCCCGTCTGGTCTTTATCGTCTGTCTCCTCAGCCGGATGGTGGCCCTCAGGGGAAGGCATCTCGTCTGTCCTCCTCCCATTGTGCTCACAGCCCCAGGGAGCGCACAGCACACGGTAGGCGCTTCACGGGCCTGGGTGGGCGCTGGTGGGTGACTCCCTTGGCCCTGGCATGCCTGGCCGCCTCGCCTCTCTCTGACCTGGCCCTTCCCTTCCCGCGGTCCCTACCAGCCTGTCACAAAGCTCACCTGTGCTCCTGGCAGCGCCTAGCACGGTTCTTGTGAAGAGTAGACGTTCACAGATCTGGGGAATGAGTGAAGTGTAACACAAAGGCCAGTACAGCGTGCTTGACGCCAGTGGGGGCCCCAGAGACACGTAGCTGAGAACCACCCCTTGGAAGTCTGACATCTCCCAGAAGGAGTCGGGGTGCTCTGTGCGGCCCCCGCAGGAAGGAGGCCCACACCCAGGGGCTTCTGCTCCGCAGCGTGGAGGGGTGGGGCTCCTCTTCCTGACGGGCCGATGCCGCAGGTACGACGGTGGGAACCTCCGGCATTCCTGAATGCCCTTCCCTCCACCAGAGGACAGCGGGTACTGTGGGTGTGCTGTCACGACCCGTGACCACCCCTGCCAGGAACCTTGATGTTGCTTTTCTCACGAGCCCCCCCAGTAAACACGATGCCTCCGTCTGGCCCTTGCTGGCTCTCTGCTGCCTACCTCGCCCCCTGCAGCCCACCCCCAGCTCCCTTAGGACAGGACTCAGAACACGGGCCAGGGAGCCAGACACCCCAAGGCCTGTCGAGGCCTCAGGTGCAGTATCAACCGTGACCAGCCCATTAGGCACACGGGTTCCTCAGTGGTGACAGGAACAGAGATGGCAAGAGAAAGCCTAGAACTTGGGGTCCCGGGGCCAGCTGGTCTGTGAATAGGAAGCTCCGGCCGCTGTGCCTATGAAACCCAGAGTGTTGGAAATCCGCCCTGCCCATCCCATGGCTGCCTCTCCAGAACCCCGACACCTCCAGCCCAGGCCCAACATCCCCAGCACCAGGATTCCTTCTCTCCCAGCCTGCGGACAGCCTGGACTGAGGAATACGGCCATGACCACGGCAGTCACGGAGCAAACGCATCCCACGCGTGGGAGGCGGAGCTGTGGGAGGCTGACACGCTTGGCGGCGTTGGACGGCTGCTTCACCCAAGCTGCTGAGTTGGCCTGAGAACAGCTGGGTTCTCCCCCCGCCTCCTGGACCCCAGGCCAGGGGTCGTAACTCCCAGACGCAGTGCCCGCGTGTCTGTAAGCGTGTCTGTGTCTCAGGCTCTACAGATGCAGAAGGGACCAGGGCCGCCCTTGGGGCCCACGGACGCTGCTGGTGGCTGACCGTTTTCCCTGAGGCCTGCGATCGTTGGGCTAATGCCCTCAACAAACCACATAAAACCAAGGGAAACAGAGCCGGGAGGACAGACAAGGGCCTTCAGTACCTAGGAGAAGGGTGTCAAGAAAGAAACGTGCCTTGTCATACTCTCGGTGACCAGGGGAAAGCCACCCGGAGAGGGACGCTGGCGTCCCCCCACCTTTAGTCATGGAGGGGAGCAGGTTTAGGACACCCACCGGGGACAAGGTGGGCACACCTGTGAATGTTTAAAGAGACCTGTTGATGGGGTCTGCAGGCTCAAGATCTAGAAACAGTAAGATGAATTCCAGAAACACTGCAGTTCTAAGACAGGCTTAAGAAATTCCAAATGGAAAAGAAACCTGACTTACTGTTTTCTCCCGAATCTGCAGTGATATCTATATCTATGTCTATGGTACCATTCTTGCAGACTTTGAGAGTCCTTCTTCCACTAGGTTAGGTGCAGACTTGCTCAGGTCACTTTCTTACGCCTGCAGAAGCACACACTCAGTGTTTTCTTTTCCTCGTATTGTGTACAAAGCATGGAAGACTAGAAACGTGAAAATAAAGCAAGCATTCTGGAAGGAACTACAGCCTCCAGGGGCTGAGGAGACAAGCAACAACTAAAGGCCCTGGGAAACAGGCTCAGTAGCAGCCAATTCACAGGGGTGCCGGGAGGAACCCCACTGTGGGGTGACAGCCCTTCTGAGGTCTGCCTTTTCCTCTGCCCTGCCTGCATTGTCCAAAGAGCAGGCTCGCCGCCCAGGGGCTGGAGAATGGCCACAGCCCGCGCAGGGCTGTTCAGATGGTGGGACCCTCAGGAAGGGCTGGGAGCGGGTGAAATGAGCCTGGGTCCAGGGACCCGCTCTGGGGAGGCAGCTTCAGCTCTTCTGCCTGCAGTTTCTATCCCGCACTGACAAAATGTTTCCAAACAGACAGCCAGGCGTTCGCAAACGTCTATGACCTTTCCGAAGACTCTGGCTACATCTGGGGCGGGTGGGTGAGGGGCTGGAGGGGCCGGCTTGCTGGGTGTCACCTGGATGAGCCTGAGAAAAGCTCGTAAGTCACAGAACGAGGGACAGCAGGTGAGCGCATTCAGGTCCTAGTCTCTTCACTCTGCGTGCCATTCTCCTAGGAAGAGATCAGCAGGGTGCTGGGACCCCCCGAAGGAGAGGAAAGCAGTTGTAAACTACTCAGCTTGAAGGAAGTAAAAAATATTCCTCCAAAATCTCTATGGATAAACTTGGGACAGATAACGAAGGCACTTTTGAAAGACTAAAGAAAGCTCTGGGACTATTTATGTCCTTGAAAGGACTTTCAGAACAAACTAAACCCACACACAACTGCCCAGGGAGGGGGTGATGGGAAATATTTGCCCAGGCCTGCAATCGGTCACCAGTAGAAGGGCATCCCCGCTCCACCAGGCGCCCTCGCCAGGCAGCCTCCCGAGAAGGTGTCTAAGTTCCGTATCCATTTCACTTAACTCGCTCCCAGCCCCTCCTCTGACGTGGTACTTTTATTTAACACAAGGTAAAAATGATTGCAGGCTAGATGCAGAATTTAAATCTCAAAAGTGCTGCCTTCCTAATATTTAAGAAATGCCATTCTCCATACCCTCTGTCTTCTCTTAGAAAACATCTTCTTTGCTGGTGAGGCATAAAGGGACATGCAGTGAGCGGTGACGCCAGTGGAAATTGTCACCCTCGGCCATTCTCATACCCTCCTCTCGAGCGGGGACCAGGCTGCAGGCACCTCGGTCCTGAGGGCACAGGTCCCCACCCCTCACGCCCCCGCAGCTCTGGGGAAACAGCATGGTGGACCCGGCAGTGGACAAAAGAAACGGAGACCACGGGGGAACTGCAGTGTCCAGCCTCGCCAGGGGTGAGGTCCTCGCCCACTGTTGACCCCGCCTGTTGGCCCTCTTGGGAGGCGCTCCCCCTCCCCAAGGGACAGGGCGCTTTCCTCATCTGGACGAGTTGAGTCAAAGGCGCGACCTTTAGTGAGGGTGCTGCTAACTGGGTTTCCTAATACTCTGGTCCCAAGAACCGGAAGGCCTTGCTGCGTGGGGTCCATTCCCACCTGGTGACCTCCGGTCACCCCGGAAATCAGCCCACTGGGCCCTTCCTCCATCACAGTGAGGAGCTCCACTGCAAAGAGCTGCCTCCAGTCACCTGCTGGCTTCTGACCGCAGACGTGACCCCTCCCGCGCCCCGTCCTGGGTGGGGCGGGGCCAGGCCAGGCGTGAGGACCCAGAACTACCTGCGCCCCGGCCTGGGGGCTCACAGCACTCGGGCCGTCCCCACGCCCCGCGCGGGCGTAGGTTACAGAGATGCTGGCCAGCTTTCCTGTGTGGACGTTTCTAACTTCCTAAACAATTGAGGCTCCTACGAGGCAAGAGTAATCGAAGTGGGCTGCCCAGGTCCTCCATGCATGCAGCTGCCACGCTCCGGAGGGTCCCTGGTGGGTGGCAGCTCCCCTCTGGGCCTGGGTGGCCAATTTGGGGTGTGGGAGCTGGCCTGCTGTCACCTGCAGCCCGTATGGCCCATTCTGCGACTCTGTGAGGTTTCCCGGGCCCCACCTGGTACTTCTCCTAATAGAGGCGCCAAGGCCGAGCACTTCCAACGGAAACTGGGGGACACATGAAACCCGTACCCTGATAATGAGGAACCTGGAGTAGAAGGCTGAAGAGGACGCAGCCGCACCTGTGCTGCACTTCAGGGAGTTTCGGAACCGCGCTAGAACCAAGCCTGTTGTCAGGGTGCGAGACGACGGGGACCTGGGCGAAAGCGGCCGTGCGCGCGCGTGCAGGAGGGAAGGCTGCGCCCGGGGACGAAAGGGTTAAGCCGCCCGCAGCGCCCGCGGCGTCCGGTAGCGGGCGCGCGCCGGCGGGAACGCGGGCGCTGGCGGGCGGGCCTCGGGCGGCCGGCGTCCCTGACGTCACCACCCCGCGGTCGCCGTGGCGACGGCCTCATCAGCGCGCGCGTCAGAGCCGCCAGTCTCTTGGCAACGGCCCGATCTCGCGCTCTCCCTCCCCCTGGCGCTCGGCCGCGCGTCGCTCCGGCGTCAAAAGGACGTCAATGGGGATGTATCAATCCGGCGGCGGCGGCGTGGGCGGGGCCGGCGGCGTGGGGGCGTGGTGGGGGCGGGGCCGGGCGGGCCGGGGCGGGGCCGGAGGGCGGGGCTGGCGGCGCGTGCGGCCAGAGAGCCCGGCGCTCGGCTCAGAGCTGACATGCGGCGCGGCCCGGGCGGCAGGCGGCCGAGCAGCGGGCGGCCGGGCAGCGCGAGCGGCCGAGCGGGCGGCGGGGGCCGCGGAGCGAGCGGCGTCCCGACCTCGGCGCTCCGAGGGCGGCGGAGGTGAGGCGCGGGCAGGCGGCCGCCGTTGGGCTCGGGGCTGCGGACTCTGCGGCCCCGCAGGTGCGCGCGCGGGGGTCGCGGGCCGGGGCGCCGCCACCGGGCTCCGCTTTGTGGTGAGGCTGGCGGCGTAGGGGGGCGTGGGAGCGGGGGTCCGGGTTTCGGGACGGAGCCGAGCGCGAGCGGCGATCCACGCGCCCCGCAGGGCTTGGGACCGGGAGCCCGAGCCGAGCCGAGCGCGGGCGGCGGGCGTGGGAGCGGGGCGCACGTCCCAAGGGGTTCCCGGAATCCGGGGTCGCTGTGGAGCCGGTCGCCGGCGGGGGCGGGTGGCAGCGGGTCCGCGCGCAGGGCGGGCCGGGGGCCCTGGGCTCGGGCCGGCCGGCGCCGAGCTGAGCGCGCCCCCCGCCCGCAGGTGCGGCCCGGAGCCATGGTGATCATGTCGGAGTTGAGCGCGGCCCCCGCGGGCTCGGGCCAGGGACAGCAGAAACCTCTCCGGGTGGGCTTTTACGACATCGAGCGGACCCTGGGCAAGGGCAATTTCGCGGTGGTGAAGCTGGCCCGGCATCGAGTTACCAAGACGCAGGTGCGTGGGGCGGCGGGACCCCGGGGTGAACCCTACGGGGGTGCACCCTCTGCGGGTGGACACCCCCCCTCCCCGGAGCAGGGGAAGCTGGTGGAATCCCAGCTTGTGGGGTCCTTCGTCCTAATGTCTAAACGCTGACAGTTTTTAGTTTGGAAAAGGAAAAAAATGCTTTATATTATGATTATGCATAATTTGTACAAATATTGGGGGACAGCAAATAGGGTAATGAGCAAATAACCTCGGAGCGCAGCTGGAGCCCTGAAAAGTGAGCCTGCAGACACTTAGGACATTTATTGATCTTTGGCTTTTTAAGTAATATTAACGGTTACTTCCGTTATTTTCCTCCCTAACTTTTTGTGACCTTTGGGGACATAAAGTGTTTTAGAAATTAACCTACAGAAAATGAAATGTGTAAATTCGCTTAAATGAGAGGGTTTTTCTTTTTCAAACAAAATATCCTTTATCTATTAAAAATTTGTAGGTTGCAATAAAAATAATCGACAAGACACGATTAGATTCAAGCAATTTGGAAAAAATATACCGTGAAGTTCAGATCATGAAGCTTCTGAGTCATCCTCATATCATAAAGCTTTATCAGGTAAGGACGCAAGTTTGCCTTCCACTGTTACTTCTGGCAAAGTGTATCATTTTTTTAATTTTCAACAACTTAAGTCTCTGAAGGTTGCCCCTCTTTTTGGGTGTTTGTAGGAGTCAGGGGGTTGATTGTATAAGGTGAACAGATTGACTTCTGTAAGCTGTGCAATTATTTTCTTGCTCTTGGATCATAATTCAGATTTGCTTCATTAAAGTTTTGTTTGGTAGTGTTACTCATTCCAGTTTTGAATGCGTGGAGGTCGGTTGTTAAATTTACTATGAAAACAAACAACTAGATCTCTGCATTGCCGCAAGTCAACCATTTAGTGTGAAGGGACGAATCTGAGTGAAACTAGACTCTTCTGCCTTTGCAGATAATTATTAATCTTTAAAACCAGCTGCTCTTACCAGTTTTCGTAAACTTATCTGCGCAAAGGCTGCAGTGAGCATTTGTCTATCCCGTTTCAACCCTTCCATCAAAAACGGAGAGATGAGGTACCTTTGCTGCGGTGAGAGCAAAAGGAACTTGCCGTCTAATCTGCTTTAAGAACGTGCCTCACCCTGTCCGTCTGTTGGTTTGCTTTTTGTTCTTCCTTGAAACTAAAAAATTGTATCTTTGGAAACTAAGTGCTGATTTAATTAGGACAGCAAAGGAATCTCTTACTTAGCCAGGTGCTTCTGCAAAATGAACTCGGGTCTACTTGCAGAAGGATAAGTTCTTTGCAAATGTTTGATATTACTCCCAGTTGTGTTGGGTGTAAGTTCCTTTTGACGATTCTCACGAAACCCTGTGGATCCGAGATGGATATGGGACGGTGTGGGGATGTGTGTGTGCCCTTGGCAAGGCGAAGCTGTACAGTGTGGCAGGGGAGAGGACTGAGGTTGAAATGACCCCCCGGGGAGGCTGCTGCCGTGGGTTATGGTGAAGGATGAGGTGGAGTCATGGGGCTCGTGTTCCTCTAATGACAGTTTACTCAGCATCGTTAAGTGCCGAGATCGAGTCACGTGCACTCCAGTTCGTGTTTTGTTTCTGTTGTCATTTTTGAGTCAGGCCGAGATAAGATGTTTCCTCCATGGTCACTGATGTCAGTGCCTGAGCAATGTGCCCAGCCTGTTTCCACAGGAGTGGGCTGAAGCCTGTCTGTCTCTGACTTTGACAAGGGGGATGAGCCAGAGCTTTCCTCATCTTCCTGTCCTCCGCTGACCCTGTGCGGGAGGAGCCCAGTGAGCCAGACGGTAGAGGTCTTTTCTGGGGGTGAATTTTCTCATCATTCCATGAGCTGTTTTAACTGTTTGGAGACAGGGTTCAGTGGGTAGCAGCGATTGTTATGGCTCTGGTTTTGACACTAGTGTCTAATTTTCTTCCCCTGGCCCGGTCCCCAGAACCTCCGTGAGACGCTTCAGCTCTTTCCTCGAGGTTTTTTTTAAAACTTCAAACACGTTGACTCGTAATGCTTCCTCTGTCTCTTTTTTAAATTGAGGAAAGGGATAAACTTGCAGCATGTCACTCTACCACACACGCCCAGGGCAAGGGTAGTTACAAGTGTAGCGAAACTGCATTGTGTTGGCTTTTCTTGTTAGATTTGTGGCTCAAGGCAGTTGTCTTTAAAGTGCCTTTTTAAGGGAATAACTATATTTTGAACCCTGAAGAGATCTTTTTCTGTAAAGATGTATTCTCTCTGTCTCCCTCTGAAATATTTTAAAATACACAGACATGAGTTTGTTTTACTCCTTTCAGTACCAAAGATTTGAATTTGACCTCCTTTCTTAATTAGTTATGTTTTTAAATCTTAAAATTTTTTTTCAACGTGAAATAAAATTCTCAATCAGTAAATGAACCTCTGAGGTGTGTTTGACATTGGCTCTTGCTATTGACACACACGCCGAGGAGTTTGCTGTAGGAGAGGAGTCTTTTGTAGCTTACCTGGCAAAGCTGGCCTCTCACAGCCTCCTGTATCAGGTCAGTAACGCAAGTGGGGCGGGGAATTTGTTATCTATTATTCAGCTCGTGCCGGCCCTGGCTTGGGTAATCTGTTGCCTGCTAGGCTTCTAGAAGAAAGGCCTCACAGAACTCTTGCCATCTCTTACTGCTGGGGCCTGCAGAGCCTTCACTTTGGGTGAGGCAAAGTGAGTTAAAAATACCATAGAGGAGAGTTCCAATACAAGTAGATATTTTTGGGAAGCAGAGGTGTTTCAGGATGGATAGGTTAGTGAGGAACTCACCTCTGATTTTCAAAAAACTTTTTCCTTTTTTTTTTTTTTTAACATCTTTATTGGAGTATAATTGTTTTACAATGGTGTGTTAGTTTCTGCTTTATAACAAAGTGAATCAGTTATACATATACATGTGTTCCCATATCTCTTCCCTCTTGTGTCTCCCTCCCTTCCACCCTCCCTATCCCACCCCAAAAAACTTTTTCTGAATAGGGATCCCCTTTGTCTCTTTATTGCGGAAGATTTTCTTTTCTTTCCTTTTTTAAAATAACGAACGTGCTCATTCTGGAGAAGTTAAAAATTTACTGGGGTTCAAGTAGATTATTTATACCGTCGGTATGTTCCCTTTATGTGGTTAAACGTTAGGTCTTTATTTTTTTAGGTTATGGAAACAAAGGATATGCTTTACATTGTCACCGAATTCGCAAAAAATGGAGAAATGTTTGGTAAGCCATGCTGATTCTTAGTATCTGTTGGAAAGAAATGTCCTGATCGCCCCTCCAGTGTTTGGGTCTCCCCAGAATCCTTTCGTTGTGCCCTAGGCGGCGGCCGGACCTTTGGATTTGGGGCTATAGCTTCCTTTTGTCCGTCCTCAGATTACTTGACCTCCACCGGGCACCTGAGCGAGAGTGAAGCCCGCAAGAAGTTCTGGCAGATTCTGTCAGCTGTGGAATACTGCCACAGCCATAACATCGTCCACCGGGACCTCAAGACCGAGAACCTGTTGCTGGACGGCAACATGGACATCAAGCTGGCAGGTGAGGGGCCCAGGAGCGCGCCCAGCGGGAGGGAGGTGCATGCCGGTGAGGGGCCCCATGCCGTATCGCACGAGCCTTTGAAACTGCGGCCCTGCCGTTTGCACTGCAACTTCATCGCCTGTTTCCTTGTCTCTCAGATTTCGGGTTTGGGAATTTCTATAAGCCAGGAGAGCCTCTGTCCACGTGGTGTGGGAGCCCCCCGTACGCAGCCCCGGAGGTCTTCGAGGGGAAGGAGTACGAAGGCCCCCAGCTGGACATCTGGGTAGGAGCCACTGGTGCAGTGCCTGGGGGGTGCGGGTGCTCGGGGGGCACCGGGGCGCAGGTGCTGACTCAAGTCTGGTCCTCCTCAGAGCCTAGGCGTCGTGCTGTACGTCCTCGTCTGCGGGTCTCTTCCCTTCGACGGGCCTAGCCTGCCGGCCTTGCGGCAGCGGGTGCTGGAGGGCCGGTTCCGCATCCCCTTCTTCATGTCTCGAGGTAGGTGAGTGCCCGGCCTCCTCTGAGCGGGTGCGGTCACCAGCCTGCTGCCCGAGCTGTTGGGTAACCAGGATGAGACTTTGGGGGGATGAGGAGGAATTTATTTCCTGAAATGCCTGCTTGACCATCTTCTGAGTCTGCCATCGGGCCTGGGAGCCAGGCCCATGTCACTGTGGGGTGTTTACTCGATGCCTGCGAGAGAATCCCAACCCACTGGCTGCTTTCTCTGTGCCCGACTTACAGGGCCAGCTGATGCCTACGCGGCTGCTCTGAAGCTGGCTGGGGGCCCAGCAACAGCACTCGGGGTGCTGGCCCCATCCCCTGAGTCTCACCCCTCCCACACTGTGCTTTTCCCTTCCACTTTGGAAGGTGTTGGACAGCTGCTTCCTCACATGCTTGGTCACAGCAGGGTGGGGGAGTCTAGGTGGTGCTCGGTCTGGTGGACGTTAGGACCACGTTCCCCAGGGACCTGATCCCTCGACCCGTGGCCCTCCTTAGTGGCAGGTCTGTGACACCCAGGCCACCGCTCCCGGCCTCAGCGTTCTTTGGGACGGTCACTTGTCTGCTCGCCACGTGCAGGGGAGCCATGTCCCCTGCAGGGACCCAGGTGGGCGCTGGGCACACGCGTGCAGGAGGCCCTCGCGGGCTCAGTGCGCCTCCCTTGCCCCCCAGACTGCGAGACGCTGGTCCGCCGCATGCTGGCCGTGGACCCCACCAAGCGCATCACCATCAGCCAGATCTGGGAGCACAGGTGGATGCGGGCCGACCCCGCCCTGCGGCAGCCCACCTGCCCCGTCTTCTCCTTGCTCGGCTACGCCTCCAGCCTGGGGAGCTATGACGAGCAGGCGCTGGGCATCATGCAGACGCTGGGCGTGGACCGGCAGAGGACCGTGGAGGTGCGCCGCCGGCCTGGCCTGCCATGGGGAGGGTGCGCCTTCCCGGTCGGGGGCGGGGCGGGCCGCCGAACGGGGGAAGCAGGTGCTCGCCAGCCGGGTTAAAACGGGCGCGCGGCTGATCGAAGGGCGGCTCGCCCACGGGAGAGGGTGTTCTTGGCCACCCCAGAATGGCGCGGGGGCGGGCTCTTCAGGAGCCCCCCCCGCCGGCTGCGCTCTGACCCCGCTTCTCTGCCCGCAGTCGCTGCAGAACAGCAGCTACAACCACTTCGCTGCCATTTATTACCTCCTCCTGGAGCGGTTGAAGGAGCTCCGGCTCGCCCAGCCGCCGGCCCGCCCCGGCCACGCCTGGCAACAGAGGCCCCGGAGCTCGGACCTCAGCGGATTTGAGGTGAGGGGCGGCGCCTTCGATACCCAGCCCCAAGTCTCTGCCTTGGACTGTGTCCCCAAGTTAGGAATACCCTGCTGGGACATGGCTGGGAGGGCATGCAGGCTGAGCCCCCAGGTCACCTACCCCCTCCCGTTAGGCACTTGGCAGGGGTCCCGTGTGGTGAAGCGGGGTGGGGGGTGCCAGCCGTTCTGCTGGGGGTCAGGCCCCGCCCGACCACCCCCTGTTCCTTCACGGCCCCTGGTGCCACCGCTCGGCCGGTGAGGCACTGGAGGGGGCTACACACGTGTCCTGAGCCCGCAGCTGGCGGCCGACGCCTGTAACAGTCAGCGGGAAGCCAGCCCGGTCTGTTCCGCGACGCTGTGTTGCTTGCGGTCGTCCCCTGCCTCTGTCCCTCACGGCCTCTGTCCTCATCTGCTGGCCCCCAGGTGCCTCAGGAAGGCCCCCCCGGTGACGCTTTCCGCTCCGCCCTGCTCTGCGCACAGCCCCAGACCTTGGGGCAGTCTGTCCTGCAGGCCGAGCTGGACTGTGACCTCCACGGCTCACTGCAGGTGTGCGAGCGCCTCGCAGGCGGTGTCCGGGGTGGGCCCGTCTGGTTCCCAGTGCTGGTGACGCCCCGGGCCGGGCCTCACAGAGCGCTGGGGTCACCGGCCTCCGTGTGTCCCCACAGCCCTCGCTCTTCCCTGTGGACACCGGTTGCCACGGCATGTGCCAGTGGCGCTCCGTCTCCCCCAGCAGCCTGCTGGACACGGCCATCAGCGAGGAGGCCAGGCGGGGCCCGGGCCCGGACGAGGAGCAGGTCGCACGGGGGCCCCCGCCTGGCAGCACCGGCCGGAGACACACGCTGGCCGAGGTTTCCACCTGCTTCTCCCCGCGCATCCCTCCATGTAAGCGTCCCCGTGGGTCAGGGACATGCCCGGCGGGTGGGCTGTGACGGGCAGCGTCTTCGGGTTTGCCATTCCTGAATCGCCCGAGGCCACGTGGACCATACTTAGACCTCGCCGGTGGCCCTCGAATGGCAGGGACAGCGTGGGGTTTAGCTGCCCTCAGGGGCTAGCAGGGCAGGTCCTCGGCCCAGGCCCCTCTGTGTCCCAGGTCCAAGCGCCACCTGTTGGCTGTAGCCGTGCCCCCAGCCCCGTGGTGCTGCCCGTCGAGGCTCCCTGGACTCTGGGGGCATCTGGCTGTCGCAGACTTCCTACCCCCAGAGTTGAGGCTAGGGGTGGGGAGGGCACAACTGTCTGCCCCGTCAGTGGGCCACAGGCCATCTGAGGGCCCGGGAGACGCCGCAGCAGGCGCGAAGCTCCGGGGCCAGAGCACCTGGACTTGCTGCAAAGGGTGTCGGGCGTCCCCGGGTGCGTCTGGCCTCAGCAGCGCCTGCTGCTCTGCAGGTATCGTTGTCTCCCCCTCCGCGGCCAGTCCTTCCGAAGGCACCAGCTCCGACAGCTGCCTGACCTCTGCGGGTGACGGCCTGGCTGGGCTCAGCGGACACCTGGTCGCTCAGGGGCTGCTGAGCGCCTGCTCTCCGCTCAGACTGGCCTCGCCACTCCTGGGGACCCAGTCCGCCACCCCTGTGCTGCAGGCGCAGGGGGCCCTGGGAGGAGCCGCCCTGCTCCCCGTCAGCTTCCAGGAGGGCCGGAGGGCGTCAGACACCTCTCTCACTCAAGGTGACTTCCCCTTTCGCGCCCACTTCTGCCTTCCCTGGGAGACCCGTGTGCACCCCGGGGGGCATCACTTTGTCCTTAACGGCAGGTGGCAAACCCCTCTTCTAGCTGGTCCTGGTGGAGCAGCTGTGCTCCCTGGGCAGGCCGAAGCTGCTGCCCGGCTTCTAGACACCCTGGCTTCTAGGATGAGCTCACACGGCCTCTAGTAGCTGGTCCTAAGAGCCCAAGAGATGCTTGGGTGGTGGGCATCAGCTCCGGACTTGGAGGAGGATGGTCAGGGAGGCACCCGCCACAAAGGCAAGCCATACTTGGCGGCCGGGGTCTCCTGGCACCTCGCAGGGCTTGTGGGGCCCCAGCCCCGTCCCGAGGCCCCTGCACTGCTCACGCCCTCCTTCCACGAAGGATCCACTGTCTGCCCAGACGTGTGCTTCTTCAGGGCTGGAACTGCTGTCCCAAACCAAATCCAAAAGAGACTGATGTCCCAGCCCCAGGAGAGGGGCTGTCGTGAAGTGATGGGGTGACGAGAGGGCCCCTTGACCCTGTAGGAAGGCGTGCGGGTCCCCTCATCCCACCACGTTCACACCACTCGGCCCCGCATACTCCCCTGCTGTCTGGAAGCCCCAGCAAGCGATGGGCCGTCAGGCCAGGGCTGGTGGACGGGTCCGTATACCTGTTGACTTTGCCTGTCCCCAGGGCTGAAAGCCTTTCGGCAGCAGCTGAGGAAGAACGCGAGGACCAAAGGCTTTCTGGGGCTGAACAAGATCAAGGGGCTGGCTCGCCAGGTGTGCCAGCCCTCCTCCAGCCGGACCTCGAGGGGCGGCCTGAGCACCTTCCAGCTGCCCGCACAGAGCCCGGGCCTGCACGGCGGCGGGGCTGGCGGCCGGGAGGGCAGGAGCCTGCTGGAGGAGGTGTTGCACCAGCAGAGGTAAGACGCCCGCGTGGCACTGGCGCCGGGGCCTGGGCAGGGCTCGTGTGGCTTAGGCTTTTCTGAGCGGCCTTACTCCCTGAGCTCCTGCTTCTGCACGTAACCAGACAAGCGCTGCCCTGCCCAGGCTGGGGGAGATCTGTGCAGCTCCTTCCCAGTAGCTGGGGGGCGGGGGTGGGGAGCATCGGCCCACAGTGGGGGAGGGAGGGGGCGGCGGGTAAGAATGTCACGTCTGGTTGGCATCTCTGAGCTGCTACGAAAGCAAGACGGGGAATGAAATGCCAGGAATTGCTCAGGGGATGAGTCACGCCCAGAGTGGCGTGTTCCGAGCAGCTCCAGCCCGTACTTCCACGGGGCGGGCCCTCAGCCCTGGCGGGTGGAAACCCGATCGTGTGGGAGCCTGGCCGGGTGGCGGGGGCAGCCGCGCGCCGGCCGGCACTGACCTGCCTTCCCTGTCCCTCGGCCTGGCCAGGTTGCTCCAGTTACAGCACCACCCGGCGGCCCCACCCGGCTGCCAGCCAGCCGCCCAGCCCCCCCCAGCCCCCTTGGTCCTCGCCCCCTGCGATGGCGCCCTCCTCGTGTCGGGACTGCGGAAGGAGCTGGGGCTGGGGCCCAGCCTGCTGCTGCCGCCCCCGCTGCTGCAGGCCGGGGGCTCCCACGTGGCGTCGGCCGCCCAGCTCCTGGACGCCCACCTGCGCATCAGCAGCTCCACGGCCCCCGGCCCTGCCGCCGTGGCCCCCCAGCCATGCTTCGCCACACTGTCCCCGAGCCTGGAACCTGCGGGGCTGCCCCAGGGGGACTGTGAAATGGAGGACTTGACCTCGGGCCCGCCGGGCACCTTCGTCTTGGTGCAGTGAGGGGCCCGGCCGGGCTGTGACTTCTCGAAGCAATAATTTCAGAGTATGTGAAGACGTTTCCGGACTCAAAGCCAAGAACTTTTCAGCAGGAAAACAAGCAATACGTTTGGTGTTTTGGCTTTTTAGTTTATATTTTGTTTGATTTTTTTTTTTTTCCCCTTGCACTGAGCAACTGTAACTCCGAGTAGGGACTGGAAACTTTTTGAAGAAAAATAATAATCCAGGGGCCTGTCATTGGGGCGGGTGGATGGGAAGCGGGAGGAGGGCAGCGGGTAGAGCTGGCAGCGCTGTGGTCAGGGTCACGGGGTGGGGGGGGTGGGGAGGGGGTCGCCGATTGCCCCCAGGAAACCGTGGTGTGAGCCATGCATCCCCATCGCGTGTGTGTGCGCGTGCATGTGTTAGTGGGTTTTTTTTTAGTTCACAGTTCTCCACTTCCTGGAACACTTAGGCTTCACTTGAAAACTGTGAACTTTCTGCTTTACGTATCAGTTCTTGAAAAGCTCTAACGTCCAGCCCAAGAGAAGATAATCTATAAATTCTTGGAATTCTCTCCCCTGAAATCAGAATCCAGAGGATAGTTTTTCTTATTTTAGAGGAGACGTTTTATAAACTGCTCGGGAGCTGGTTTTCCAGGATTCTTCGGAGGGGCTGCAAAGAGGAACCTGGCTGGGGTGGGGGGGCCGCGAGGTGGAGGCTCCCCGCCCCCCCCCCCCCCCCCCCCCGTCACTTGGCCTGGAGCCCCAGGGCACCTCCGAGGGAGCTGGGGAAGTCTCTTCCTCCTGCACCTCTTATTTCCGCTGCTAATTAAGTTTTTATGCATTTCATTATCAGGGTCCAAAAAGAACAACTGACTTGGGGTGGAGTGGGGATCGTGCAATATGGCGATTCTGTGATGCTGGGACGGACAGGGATGGGCCGCCTGCGGTCGGGGGACGGCCCACCTTGTCCGGGCCCTGCGCTTGGTGGGCCTCCGTTTTAGGAAAATGAAGTGAGAGGTCAGGTCAGTGCTGTTCAAGCTTTGTTCTTTTTTTAAAGCGAATACTGTACATGTGTATACATAGGAGACAAACATACACTACTTATTTTTTATACTTTTTACTACGTTTTTGTGTTCCTGGTGTGAACTTCCCTCTCTGGTAACGTAACCAAGCTCCGGCACCAGGTCCGTGTGGAGGCGGGGCCAGCAGCAAGCGGACCAGGCGCGTGCTCACCTGGCAGGTGAACTCAGGTGGCGGCTCGGTCCGTCAGAGGCCGCTGGGCTGAGGAGCACCGTCCCTCCCCATCCCTGTGGCCAGTCAGCGCCGTCCCTTTACCAGCGCAGGTGCCTTCAGCTTGTGTCGGCTCTCGCAGCCTGCAGTGTTAGGCCCAGGTGATGCCGAATGGGGAAGGTGGCACGTGTAGAAGCCAAAGATTGCCGGGTCGCCAGAGGCCGGGGAGGCCGGCCCCGCCGCCGCTGCTCTGTAGCTGTGTCCAGGAGCGGGACGAAGGACTGTCCTTGCACCTGGCTGCCAAGGAGTCACCAAAGCCTCCTGTGACTAGGAAGGTTTGGGCCAGGAGAGCGCCGGAGGCCCCGGGGCGCCAGCCTCGGCCTCCGCCTTCCGGAGGCACCGTCGACTCCCCCGAGGCCGCTTCCCTCCTTAACGCATCTGTTCTAACGCCGTTGATCAAAGGCCTCAGAGCCATGACAAGCACTTTACTCTCAGCGTTTCCTCCCGTCACCGTCAAGACGTGTGTCGTGTTGTGTCCGGTGTTTGCGACGCGTGTGCTGCGGGTTTCTCAGCAGCGCTGTCCCGCGGACTGGACGCGGGAGCCTGTCCCGAGGCACCACGCCGTCCGATGAAGATGTACATAGTTTGGGTTTTTTACCATAACTGAATTAATTATTTTATTTCCTACGTTCACATGAGAGATGTACGCCAAATGATTAGTGGATGTATGTTTTTTAATTTAATATTTAAATAAAACATTTGGGGAAGAAACCTTGACTCCTTCCCCGGCTTCTTCTCTGTGGGGGGCTCCTTCCTTCCGAGCCGCTTCCTCCAGGTTCGATGAGTTTCAGGTCTCGGAGAAGAGGGCCAGGTGCCGGTTCCCGCGCCCAGCCGAGCTGCAGGCCCAAGCCCTGACCCGCTAGGAGGGACGGGCGCTTGGTGGCCCCGGCTGGGGGCGCGGGAGGCCCGCTGGCGCTCAGACCCCTTCCCAGGTGGCAGCTCTGCTAATCGGCTGGGTGTCTTGACACCCAGATGTGTTTTCAGCTGGTTCGTCCCCTCCCAGGGCACCATTCAGACTTCACTCTTCACCCATAATATTCTCTGAATCCACCTAGAAATCAAGGCTTTGGAAGAATCTCACAGCCAAACTATTTCCTGGTCTTTTCAAGTTGGCATCATCACCTTCTAGCAATAGGGCAGATGGGGCTGCCAGAAGACCAAAGGGTTCTCTTCATTTTGATGCCTGGCAAATCTTTTTTGATTAAAAAATTATTGAACCCTTTCATACTCATTAGGATGGTCATTATCAAAAAAAAAAAAAAAGTGTTTGCAAGGATGCAGAAATTGGACCCCTTGCGCGTTGCTTGTGTTGCAGCTGCTGTGGAAAACAGTATTGCAGTTCCTTCAATAGTTAAATAAGGACCGTATCGTCCAGCAATCCCAATTCTGGGCACAGACCCAAAAGAGCTGGAAGTAGGGTCTCAAACAGGTATCTGTACACCCACGTTCGTGGCAGCATATTCCCAGTAGCCAAAATGTCGAAGCAACCCAGTATCCACCGGTGGATGGATGGGTAAATAGAATGGGGTCCATCCACACAATGGAATATTATCCAGCCTTAAAATGGAAGGACATTCCGACACCTGCTACAACACGGATGAACCTTGAGGACGTTATGCTCAGTGACATAAGCCAGTTACAAAAGGACAAATATCGTATGATCTGCTTACGTGAGGTCCCTGGAGGAGCCAGACTCATAGGGACAGACAGCAGGACGGTGGGGGCCAGGGGCTGGCGGGGGGGGATGGGAGGGAGTGTTTCATGGGGGCAGAGTTTCAGTCTGGGGAAGACGGAAAGTTCTAGAGACAGATGGTGGTTACACAACAGATGGTTACACAACAACGTGAATGTACCCAAGGCCACCGAAATGTACACTTAAAAATGGTTAAGATTGTAAGTTTTATGTGTATTTAACCAAAATGAAAAGAAGAAAGATTCTTTCAGGGGGACAGGTTGAGAGGTGGACAGCAGACAGCAGGGGCTCCAGGGGCCAGGAGTGGGCAAGAGAGCGAGACGGCCGCAGGGTGAGATCCACGGGGAATCCCGGGGAAGCTCGGAGTCTGTTTCCACACATTCTGGGAATAACGCTGCATGTTGCCTAAATGCCGAGCCCTTCCGACAGCCCACGGGAGCTGAGCGGCGGGGGTCCTCACGGCCGTGGGAAGGAGTCCCCCCGGCAGAAGGCTCCCTGTTTTCTGGGGCGTCTCAGCAGTTTGGGGGCTTGCTGAAGAAGAGTTTTAGCATCTTAGGTCGGGAGCTAGGTTCACAGTGACTGACTGAGCCGTGAGGCCGGCTTCCGGCAGGAGGGCGGGTCAGACATGCCCCCAGGAGAGCTCAGCGACCCCAAGGGGACACCCCTGCTCGGGCCTCCCTGGGGCGTGGCCCACGGAGCTGGCTCTGCGCCCTGGCACCTCTGTCCCCCCACCTAGGAGGGGGCCGGCTCGGCCACTGAGCTCAGGCCCTGTGGCTTGCTGTCGAGAAGAGTAAAGGGAAATCCAGAAAATCCAGTTTGCCGTTTGGGACGGAGAGTCTTGTAAACCAGGAAGAGCTCAAGCAAAATGCGTCTGGGCCTCTCAACGTCTTTGGCTGTTGTGTTTGCGCCGTGTTAATAACTTGACATGCCTGTGTCTTGGCTCCCAACCGGACGCTCAGCTCCTGGTGGGGACCTCATATCTCATCCGACTCCCACTCCCACGGGCCCGAGCGCAGGCGGGCTTGCGTGGCCCCTCGGCAAAGAGCCGGCAGCTGAGTGAGCCCCTGTTCTCGAGCTGGCTTGCTGTCTCCGAATGGATGGTGTGGCCATTCTTACTGTTGGTGGTGGTGGTGTTACTGTTCTCGTGATGTAACACTTCCTAGAATTCCCAGGTTGGAGATGAGCCCGGCGCAGGGAGCCTCACGTAGACCCGCGGGATGTCGGAACTCCGTCCTGGGCTTACAGATCCGCTCACGAATACTTTCCCGCCCCCCAGAACAGGAGGCCAGTGGCCGTGGGATTCGGCGAGGCTCGCAGTGCATGAAGGGTCTTCTCAAGGCCCCGCCACCGCGTCTTGCTCTCCCAGCATTTCTGCACCTTGGACGACCCCACCTTCTCGGGTGTTTTGCGAGGAGTTGACGCTGTGGATGGGTGCGTTCCTGGTGGGGCGTGGGGCGTGGGGTGCGGCGGTGCCGAGCCAGTCTCTGGCACGTCCCTTAGCACACGACTGCACGTCTGTGTGTGGGCAGCTCTAGTCGGCTTTCCTGTGTTCAGGGCATCGCGCCTCATGATGCCCCTTAGGGGGTGTGACCACTAAACACCCCGGGAACCACTTAGCACAGCTCCAGGCACACCGGGAGCGCCCAGCAGTGCCCCGCAGGGTCCCTGCAGGGTCGCCGCAGCCAGAGGGCATGTGTCCACCAGGGAGGAAGGGCCAGGGGGCCGGGGGGCCCAGGCTTGGCCCCCTTTCATCCCCACACTGATGTTGAAAATACTGAATCCTCCGGCAGAGGTAGGAGGCCTCGCCCTGAAGGCGCCAGGTGCCGTGGTCGGTGTGACTGTTGCTGCCCAGAGCTGGGAGCGCCCTCCCGGCCGGGCCACGGGACGGTGTGTGGCCAGAGCCTGCCCTGCTTTGGGAGGAAGGCTTTCTGGGCACCTCGGAGTGAGAGCGGCTTCTGTGGGGGAGGAGGGGGCACGGACGGTAGGGACGGCGGGGTCGGAGGGTTCGGAGAGTGAGGGAAGTTCCTGGCTGGAGAGCCGGGGCTCATCTCCCTCCGAGGTGGGGACTGAACCTGACCTAAGAGGAACTGGCTAGCTTGGGGGTGGAAGGAAAAGTGTTGGCCCATGAGTTTTCCTTCCAGAATAACAGCGGGGAGTTCCAGATGCGCACGGGGGTGGGGTGGGGGCCGGGGGGATGGGCACCGCCAGCCTGTGGCACGAGCTTTGACCTTGACAGGGTCTCCTGAAGAGGGTATCCAGGGTGGAGATGTCTTAGTGGGCCCACCTGAGGTTTTCCAGGTCTGGCTCTGTGGGCTACTGTCCACGGTGAGAGGAGAGGGCGGAAACCAGAGGGGCCTGGAATCTGAGCTGATTACTGTGAGGCTGGGAGGGCAGTGGAGGGGGAGGGGGAGAGGTGGGATGGGGGAGGGGTGGGGAGAAAAAGAGTGAGCATGTTCAATCCCTCCCCTCAGGGGAGCTCCTGGGCCTCCGTCTGACTCACTCTTTAATTATCATCATTTCATTTATTTGAAGGTGATTTCTGTAAAGACTAGACACATCACTCAGGAGGCTCCGGGGACAGCGCTCCCCCCGTTGTCTTTGAGGAGCCGTGTGCTGGGATGAGGCCCACGAGCTCCAGGCCAGCCACACTTCCCCAGCAGGTTTGGGGGGTTGGGGTTCAATCGGGGGGGAAGGTATCTTTCCTCCTTCACCGAGTGTGTCCACCTCCAGCAGCAAAGGGTTATGTGAGAAGCCCGGGGCTCCAGGTGCCACTGGATTGAGGTTTGAAGACGGTGAGGAGAGCAGGGGCTGCAAACCCCCAGAAACAAGGTGCCCCCAGAGCCAGTCAGCTGTGACGGACACACAGTGAAACGCACCTGTCGT